CGTCGGTGTCGTCGTAGTCGGTCTTAACAGGTTTTGCAAACCAAGTTGCGGGTGGGTGGGTGGGATGTTTGCGCGAGCAGTGGAGAAGACAACTTCAAGTTCAGCAAATTAATTGCACCACGTAGATTCTCCTTTCTGAAAGATTCATAGATTCTACCCCCCTTCCACCCCGGACTTATCGGTTACCCCGCGCGTGCTGTAAATTACATATGATTATGACCACATGTCCATCCTAAAAATGAACTCATACTATCCCAGCCAGGCCGGGTTCCCCCCCCTGCGGTTCCCTGGTGAAAAAACACTATGCGGTGACATTTGTTGTTCGAACATAACATTTTTTTCACAAATCCCTTGCACAAAATGAGACGAAGTGCACACGCGCGCGTCGTCGCGCGCGCATGCCGAAATCCTTCAAAAACCTTCGGTGCGGGAAGGATTTCGCAATCGAGTTTCCGAAAAACATACAAAAACACATGGTTTCGCAACACTGATTTGCTAAAAACAACTTCCGCGCGAGCTCTTGCGACATCTTAAGAAAACCATAGGTTTTCCACGATTTTCAAAAAATGCTACCAAACGGGCTTCGCGCGCGCGCATGTCGAAATCTGTCGAACGCCCTTGCGCGTGTGCCGTCCCGAGAATCCTCTGCAAAAAAAGGGACGAAGTGCAAACGCGCGCGTCGTCGCGGGCGTATGCCGAAATCCTTCACAAACCATCGGTTTCAGAAGGATTTCAAAATCGTGCGTCCAAAAAACTTACAAGAACCTAAGGTTTCGCAACACGGATTTTCAACAAAAGCGTGCGCGCGCGCTCTTGCGTCGTCGTCGTCGTCGTCGTCGTCGTCCTCCCTCCTCCCTCGTCGTCGTCGTCGTCGTCGTCGTCGCCGTCTTCTGTCTTTCCTCGTCGTCGTTGTCGTCGTCTTGGCATCGTCGTCGTTTCCGTCGTCGTTGTCGCCGTGGTCGTCCTTCCTCCCTTGTTGTCTTCGTCGGCGTCTCGTCGTTGTCCCTCCTATTTCGTCGCCGTCGTCGTCGTCGTCGTCGTGGTCTTCACTCCTCCCTCGTCGTTATCCTCCTCCCTCGTCGTCGTCGTCCGTCGTCGGCGTCTCGTCGTCGTCCTTTCATTTCGTCGCCCGTCGTCGTCGTCGTCTTCGTCGTCTTTGTCATCGTCGTCGTCTTGCCTCCTCCCTCGTCGTTGTCGTCGTCGGCGTCGCCGTCCTTCCTCCTTCTTCGTCGTTGGCGTCGTCGCCGTCTTCCCTCCTCCATCGTCGTTGTCGTCGTTGTCGCCGTCGTCGTTTTTTCTCCTCCCTCGTCGTCGTCTCCGTTGGCGACGTCGTCGTCGTCTTCGTCGTCGTCGTCGGCGTCGTTGTCGTCGTCGTCGGTGTCGTCGTCGTCGTTGTCGCCGTCGAAAACATTGGAGACGTCGTCGGTGTCGTCGCAGTCGCTGTCGGCGGCGCCGTCGTCGTCGATGTCGCTGTCGTCGTCGGCATCGGTGTCGTGGCCAAGTGCCATGTGGTACCTACCGTCACGGTCTTGTCTGAAGAGGTCTTGCGACCAAGTTGCGGGTGGGAGGGTGGGGTGTTTGCACGAGCAGTGGAGAGGACAGCTTCAAGACGGTCAAGATTAATTGCACCGCGTAGATTCTCCTTTCTAAAAGGAGAATAAACTCTACCCCCCCGGACTTATCGGTTCTCCTTTCGGGTATGTAAATCATATATGATTCTGACCACCCGTCCATCCTAAACATGAAATCGTACCATCCCAGCCAGGCCGGGTTCTCCCCCCTGAGGTTCCCTTTTGAAAAGAAACACTATGCGGTGACATGTGCTGCTCTAACAAAACATTTTTTTCACTAACCCCTTGCAGCAAATGGGACGAGATGCGCACGCGCGCGTCGTCGCGCGCGCATGCCCAAATCCTTCAACAACCTTCGGTGCCGGAAGGATTTCGCAATCGAGTTTCCCAAAACACATACAAAAACACAAGGTTTCGCAACACGGATTTGCTAAACAAACTTCCGCGCGAGCTCTTGCGAAATCTTAAGAAAACCATAGGTTTTTCAATATTTTCACAGAGTGCGACCAAACGGGTTTCGCGCGCGCATGTCGAAATCTGTCGAACGCCCTTGCGCTTGTGCCGTCGCGAGAATCCTCTGCAAAAAATGTGACGAAGCGCAGACGCGCGCATCGTCGCGGGCGTATGCCGAAAACCTTCAAAACCCATCGGTTTCGGAAGGATTTCAAAATCGCGCGCCCAAAAAACCTACAAAAACCTAAGGTTTCGCAACACGGATTTTCAACAAAAGCGTGCGCGCGCGCGCTCTTGCGTCGTCGTCGTCGTCGTCGTCCTCCCTCCTTCCGCGTCGTCGTCGTCGTCGTCGCCTACGTCGTCCTCTGTCTTTTCTCGTGTTCGTCGTCGTCGTCCTCTTTGGCGTCGTGGTCGTTTCCGTCGTCGTTGTCGCCGTGGTCGTCCGTCCTCCTCCTCCCACGTCGTCGTCGTCGTCGTCGTCCGTCGTCGGCGTCTCGTCGTCGGTCCCTCCTATGTCGTCACCGTCGTCGTCGTCGTCGTCGTCGTCGTCTTCCCTCCTCCCTCGTCGTTGCCGTCGTCGGCGTCGCCGTCCTTCCTCTTTTTTCGTCGTTCGCGTCGTCGCCGTCCTCCCTCCTCCCTCGTCGTTGTCGTCGTTGTCGCCGTCGTCGTCCTCCCTCCTTCCTCGTTGTCTTCGTTGGCGACGTCGTTGTCGTCTTCGTCGTCGTCGTCGTCGGCGTCGTTGTCGTCTTCGTCGTCGTCGTCGGCGTCATCGTCGTCACCACCGTCGTCGTCGTCGTCGGCGTCGTTGACGTCATCGTCGTCGGTGTCGTCGTTATCGTCGTCGTCGGCGTCGTCATCGTCGTTGTTATCGTCGTCGTCGTCGGCATCGGTGTCGTCATCGTCGTCGTCGTCGGTGTTGTCGTCGTCGTCGTCGTCGTCATCGTCGTTGTCGGCGTCGTCGAAGTCGTTGGAAACGTCGTCGGGGTCGTCGTAGTCGTTGTCGGCGGCGTCGTCATCGTCGTTGTCGCTGTCGTCGTCGGCGTCGCTGTTGCTGCCAAGTGCCATGTGGTACCCACCGTCACGGTTTCAAGAGATTTTGCAAGCCAAGTTGCGGGTGGGTGGATGGGATGTTTGCGCGAGCAGTGGGGTGGACAACTCACTGCGAAAAAAATAATTGCACTACATAGGTTGCATCGCATACATCGGTCCACTTTTTGTTTTGCAAATTACAAATGGTTCTGCCCTATTGTCCATCCTAAATACAAGCTCGTTCCATCCCAGCCGGGCTGGTATCGCCCCCCCCCCCCACATACTCTGCCAGAAGAATGTATGCGCGCGCCCGTTTATCACAGATTCTCAGTTTCCAAAAACTCTTTGCAGAACGTATGACGAAGTGCACGCGCGCGCGCGTCGTCGCGCGCGCATTCCAGAATCTTTCCAAAACCTTTGGTTTCGCAAGGAGTTCAAAGTCGACTGTCCCACAAACATAAGAAGCACAAAGTTTCGCAACGCGGACTTACACAAAAAAACCAAAACAATGGCGCGCGCTGTTGCGAATTCTTCAGAAAGCCACAAGGTTTCAACATTTCTAGAACACGCAACCAAACCAGCTTCCCGCGCGCGCTTGTCGAAATCGTTCGAACGCCCTTGCGCGCGTGCTGGGGTGGTACGTCCGTATCAAATGATACCATGCGGGCCACTCTCGCGCCTGCCGCGCGCACGTGTCGAACTCCTTCCAAAACCTTCATCGCCGACGCGCAGACACCGTCATCGTCGTCGGCATGATCAGCATCGGCGCCGTTACTGGCTGCCACGTCGTCGCTGTCAGCATCGTCAGCAGCATCGCTAGTATCATCATCGTGTTTACCGTTGTCGACGTTGCCATGATACCGCGCCCGCCCACGTTGCCGACTCGCACTGAAGTGCCCGTTGGGATGTGCCGAGCGATCAGCGCCACCGTATTCGCATCGGTCGCGCCAAACTAGCTGGCCGGTGCGCGCGCGCGAACATGCGCGAGCTAGCGCGACCGCAGAGATGCACCAACCAACACCAAGCACTCACCGCAATCGCTTCCGCATGGGTTTTGCAGACCAAACGGTGGGTGGGTGGGTGGGATGATTGCGCGAGCAGTGGAGTTGACAACTTCAAGTTCGGCAAGTGAATTGCACACCATAGATTGCACCGCATAGACTGCAATAACCTACTGTTTGGGTCCCCGCTGGCCAAAATGTATAGATGGGTGCGTACATAAGGAATCACAAAAACGAGGAGAAGCGATGTCCAACCGCCCTCCTGTAAATGCTTTCGGACCTCCTCCGTGTCTTCCACCTCCCCTTTCCACCTTGGCATCCGCTGGCGCGAGAAAAACAACGCGAAACAGCATCCTTTGCTGAGGGGGATTCCCTGCCCAAGACAGCCGAGGGACTCAGCGGCATCACGGTCTTACCATGAGGGTGAGGGACCATGATCAAGCCTTTGGTCGAACCATGTGAATGCATTCAATGTTGACCGATCTTCGCTGTCAGAGGTCCCCAGAGGCTGTCGACCCCATCGTTCCTACGCGTGGATTTCGCGCCGTGGATTGTTTTCTGTGCCCTGGGGCCCGAGTCGGGCCCTGTAGGGTGTTTGACCTCGAACGCGGGTGCTGGCGTCGCCACCGCGCCGAAGCTGCGCGAGCCTGCTGCAGGTGGAAGGGGGAGGGTGGATGGGCGCGGTTGGAGTGGACAACCTGGGCCGTTTTGGGGCCCTTGGGGCCGTCGTGGGGTTTTCGCGGGCCGTCAGGGAGCCATCTCGAAGGCTAATTCGGCGCTCTCGGGGCCACTTTGGTGGCCTCTTGGGCCGTCCTGGGCCGTAGGAGCGCCGAGAAGGAGCAAACGCCGAAACCCTCGGCCGCGCGGGGTGGTCGACGGCAGCGCGGCGCAGCGCGGTGCCGCGGCGCAAGAACCCCCGGGCGGTGTGCCCGCGGTGGCGCGGCTCCTTTAACCGCTCCTTGCGCGTCATCGGCCTCGCACGGCCGTGGCAGACCGGGGCGGGGGCAGGCGGCGGCAGAAGTTCTTCGTAGCAAGCCAGGGCAGCAGCTTCTGGCGGCAGCCAGCACTCGTGGCAGCCTGGAGCAGCGGCCGGCGGCGGAACCAACATCAATGGCAAATCAGCGCGGCGGCTCGTAGCCCCAATTAACAGCTTTGGAAAGCTAAGGCAACTGCCAATGGCAATGGGCAGCTTCGTGGACAACCGCAGATGCAAGGCTGGTGGTGGCAGTCACAACGTTCGCAATATACCAGAGCAGCGTCTAGCTGCGGCAGCCAACATTACTGGCAAACCAGAGTCACGACGATCAGACTTCGTGATCCAACAACGTGTAAGGCATAGCGGTGGCAACCAATGCTCGCAACAGACACAGCAATGGCCAATGGCGTTAAACGACCATGGTGGCAAACAATATCAAAGGCTGGTGGCGGGAACGGGTATTCGTAAGAAGCAGGAAAAACACAAATAGAGGCAACACCAATTCGTGGCTAAACAGAACACTAACGAAAGCAATCAACTTTCGCGGTACATCAGAACCTGCGGTCAACAAAGACTGGCGCAAACTAATGATGGCGGTCGAAGTCCCGCGATGAATCGCTGATTTATTCCCTACCTAGGCTCTGCCTAGAAGGGTTCTTACTCTCTTAGCTGAAAGGGGCCGGGCAGTGTAACACGCCCCGGGCGGTTCCCCCAGTCCCCTGGGAGCGGTTCCCCCCAGTCCCCTGGGAGCTTTAGCTTTAGCTTAGCTTTAGCTTAGCTGTAGCTTAGCTTTAGCTTAGCGTTTCGCTTAGCTTTTCGCTTAGCGCTTTAGCTTAGCTTTAGCTTAGCTTTAGCTTAGCTTTAGCTTAGCTTTAGCTTAGCTTAGCTGTAGCTTAGCTTTAGCTTAGCTTTAGCTTAGCTGTAGCTTAGCTTTAGCTTAGCTTTAGCTTAGCTGCGGCTTAGCTTTAGCTTAGCTTCAGCTTAGCTTTAGCTTAGCTTTAGCTTAGCGTTACTGTTACTACTAATGCTGCTTTCCTAGGGGTTCCAACTCCTAGGTAAGGTCGCACTGGGATAATTACTCAAGTCGGAAAGTCCCCTTCAATGTGAGCACTGTTAATGGGAATGATATATGAGTGAATATAGTCTGCGAGTGCCAAGCACTAGCGCTGGCGCATGCGACCAACACTATTGCACCCAATGGACCCGGGTTTGCCACAACCGCCACGCTCATCTCATCTCAACAGCCCCTGACGATAGAGCCTTTACCAAAACAGAGTCATGTAACCGCACAGTGTGCATGATAAAGGGAATCCCGAGCTGGAAAAATTGCCGAAACCTTGTAGAGTGACGATCACTACTCGCACTGACTACTTGACGCCATGACACCTCGGCGAAGCAAACTGATGGCGATGTGCCCTTCACTTCCAAACGACACGCAAAATTACTCCCGTCCTCGCCTTCTGCGCAGCCGCGCACGGATTGAAACACACGGACCCACGACCTGCATGCCAAACTGTTTTGCGCCAGCCACCGGCCTTTGATTATGGTGGCTTCGCCGCTGTGGAACACGTGCCTCGATTGGGCCGTGGGGCCTCCACTCGTCAACCACAATCTGAAAGAAGTACAGCGCGAAAGATCCGAGTCGGGGAAACCGCTCCCACTGGACGAACGCCGAACCACTGAATGTTAGTGCCAACGTTTCGCTACAGACGTGCCAGAATGTCCGCCGACCCCGGAGGCACGTAAGATCATACCTGTACGCTGCTCGTCCTACTGTGGTGTATCACTCTCATCCCCAGACTATCGAGAATCCTCTCCCACCACGTGCCTAATATTTCTAAGCCCGACTCAGTTTCCCATCATCCCACTCTTTGATCTTCTTCTCTTGGGGCACCCTGACGCCTCCTCCTACCTGGTCGCCCACTCCCCGCTGAACCGGACCGACACGTTATCCTCCTTGGGCCCTTCTTGAATCCCCTTTATGTTGCCGCTGCGGGGGTTTTGGCCGATTTCGCGGCTCTACCAATACGGTGCTGAACGGTTTCTCCAATGGTGGGCAGGGACCGTCGCGTCAGTGAGCACGAGACTTCGAATCGGGTTTGGGAGAAAATCGTGGGCGGAATCGCTATTGGGACTTTGAATTGGACGGGTTTCGACTTCTGTGTTGAAGGCGTATTGGGCGCAATCTCTCTCCATCTCGATTTCGAACCCAATAATTATTCGGTCGAAGTTGTGTGTTTCGAAGAAATCTCAAGCGAAATAATGGTTTCGACTCGGGCAACCCGTTTGGCACCTAAAACTTTAAATTCGGTAGCCCGAAAACTCGAAAGTGCGTTTTTCCCTTGGGACTTCGCAGAAAAAAGACGATTTCGATTTGATATCGAACCCCCTCGGCCCGAAGTCGACATGGCAATTTCGCCCAAGACTTTATCGACGAAACGTGTTCGACCGGCTTCGGGCTACCGTCACCCAGCCCCGGTCCAGCAACCTTTGTTTGCGTGGCGGACGCGCGCTGCGCCCTCGCCGCTGGCAGACAACCTCCCACTGGTGCTCCGTGGGGATATCCCCCCCCGCTTCGCCACTGCGGCCGCTGCTCTCAGCTCAGCCCGCCCTGCAGCCTGCTGCATCCCGCACTTCAGCCGCTGCCCCGGCCCCTGGGTGTAGTCGCGACGCTGCCCCGTGCCCGCTGTGGTCCCCGGGCGCACCGCTGTGGTCCCCGGGCGCACCGCTGGGGTCCCCGGGCTCGGCCGCCCCGGGCGCGCCGCTGTGGACCCCACTGCGTGAGCGTATCGATTCCTTCCCTTCCTTGCGCGGCCGCTCCTCCCACTCCGTCCCTTCTTGCATCCAGGCAATTCGCAATGCCGTCACCCGGCTTGCCCGATCGTGCGTGCGGACCACTGCCGCGCTGCGACGTACACAAGTGTTCGACCGACGTCAAAACGCCCTGGCCCGAAATCCAAGCTGCGTGGAAATGCCTTCGCTACACGATGCAACGAGACGCACCCTGGCAACACTGTGCTAGGGCCCCGTCGCCAAACGGGCACTTTCAAAATGTTCTCTGTTGACAGGTTTGTACCGGGGACCATCCGCCGAACGGGAGGAGTTAAATTTTGGCCGATCTTTCGTAGCGGCGAAGCGGGATCTCACGCGAATTATGGTCGCGTGCAAGCGGTTCCGCGCACTTGACAACCGAGCTCGGCGGCTGACAGTAGGGATCGCTCAGACCAACGCCAACGTCCATGTCAACCATGCGCGTCCATCGCCGCTGCGAAAGCTCTGGCCGATTTCTTAACTCTACCAATACAAGGCCGAACGATTTCTCCAAGGGTGGGCAGGGACCACTGCGCCATTGAGCGCCAAAATTCGAATCGAACTTGGAAAAAATCATGGTCTGAGTCGCCACTGGGACTTTGAATCGGACGGGTTTCGACTTCTGGGGCGTAATCGCGATTTCGGCTTCGAACCCGAAACGTCGGTCGAAATGGATTTTTCGAGACATCTCAAGCGGAATCGACGTCTCGACTCGGGCAACCCGTTTAGCACCTAAAACTTTAATTCGGTAGCCCGAAAACTCGAGAGTGCTGTTGCTTGATGTCGAAAACCCTCGGCCCGAAGTCGACATGGCAATTCCGCCCTATACTTCTTCGACAAAGCGTGTTCGACCGACGTCAGAAATCCCTGGTCCAACGTCCAAGCTGCGTGGAAATGCCTTCGCTACACGAAACAACGAGACGCACCCTGGCAACATTATGCTAGAGCCTCGTCGCCAAACGGGCACTTTCAACATGTCCTCCGTTGACAACATTTTTCTGGGAGCCCGCCGAACGAGAAACAAAAATGTTGGCTGATCTTTCGTAGCGGCAAAGTGGGATCTGAAACGGACTATGGTCGCGTTGCAGACAACGCCGCGCACTTGACAACCGCGCTCGGCGGCTGACAGTAGGGACCGCTAAGACCAAAGCAAACGTTCATGTCAGCCATTCGGGTCCAGTGGGATCTCGGGCGAATTCTGGACGCGTTGCAGACAACGCCGCGCACTTGACAACCGCGCTCGGCGGCTGACAGTAGGGACCGCTGAGACCAAAACGAACGTCCATAGCAACCATGCGTGCCCAGTGGGATCTCACGCGAATTATGTTCGCGTGCAAAAACAGCCGCTCACTTGACAACCGCGCTCGGCGGCTGACAGTAGGGACCGCTGAGACCAAAGCAAACGTCCATGTCAACCATGCGGGTCCGTCGCCGCTGCGAAGGCTTTGACCGATTTCTTAACTCTACCAATACAAGGCCGAATGATTTCTCCAAGGGTGGGTAGGAACCATGGCGCCTTTGAGCACCAGAATTCGAATCGACTTTGGGGAGAAGTCGTGGGTGGAATCGCCAATTGGACTTTGAACCGGACGGATGCCGACTTCTATCTTGGAAGAGGTACTGGGCGTAATCGCGATTCCAGCTTCGAGCACGTAAATTTTGGACTTCGGTCGAAATTGTCTTTTCGAGGACGTCTCAAGTGGAATCTTCGTTTCGTCTCGGGCAACCTGTTCGGCACTTACAACTTTGAAGTCGGTAGCCCGAGAAATTAAACGTGTGGTTTTCGCTTGGGACAACAACGATTCAACGATTTCGGTTTGATGTCGAAACCCGTCGGCCCGGCCCAGAATCGGCATGGCAATTCCGCCTAATACTTCTTTGACGAAACGTGTTTGGCCGTTGTCAAAACTCCATGATCCCAAATCCATTCTTTCTACATGCTTTCGCTACACGAAGCAACGAGACGCACCCTGGCAAAATTGTGCTGGGGCCCCGTCGCCAAACGGGCCGTCAAAATGTCCTCCGTTGACAACATTGAACCAGGGACCCGCCTCCGGACGGGAAGAGTTGGATCAGAATAGGAAAGCAAAAAAACAGCAGCACCACCACCTGGCCCCCCTCCCCCGGGCATTCAGAAGCAACAATGCACCCATCTGGTCTTTACGCTGCGCCACATCGCCGCCCTGCAATGCGAGCCTGGTGTGTCGTTGCGCCTCGGGCCCCAGGAAGCTGGCCCTCGGCCTCTCTGGGGCTTGCCCACAGAGCCTCGGAAACCGATTGTAAGAGTAAAAGTGTCACAACAAGTATACACCACCACCACCTGACAACCTTCTCCCTGGACTGCTGACTCTCTGGTTGGGGCCTTGGGATCCTGGGCGGGGGTGCGCTGTGCTGGACTGGGCAGTAATGGGCTGGACTGGCTCTGAACCTACTGTCAGACGCGCGATCCATGACATTTTTTGGGAGAGGGGAGCCAGGTGGTGGTGGTGGTAGTGCGCTACCACTCTCCAATCAGAACCGATCTCGCCGCCTGCCTTTCTAAAGAACTGCTGCCTGTGATGCCCCAACCCTCACTCAGAGCTCAACCGCCTGCCTGCCCCTCCTACCTCCACGGCTGCCTAACGCCTCCCTCCTTCCGCCCCGTCGCCAAAGAAAGCTGGCCTCAGGCCCTGCTTGCCATTTCCGACGTCCCTGTAGCCCATCTGCTCCTGAGGGGGGCGCCCCCGCTCCCGGCTGCCTCCGGCGAGACGCGACCTTTCAAACCACTCAGGTCGATCTACAGGCACACCCACTACGGTCCCTAAGGCTGCGGCGTCCCTCATATCGTCAGCATGAAGGTGCAAGCAGCGCTCGCAAGGCGAAAATCGTGGAATTGCCGGCCCAATTGCACAACTTGCCGAAGCGCGAACCGCCGGCAAGATGCCACTCACCATGCCAGGATATATTAGGGACTCACGCTAATATCGCGGAGGTCAATCCGAAGACGGAGTGGTGACAATTCAGAGTGAGAGACTCGATACGATTATCAACAACTATCAACTTTCTTGCGGGAAGGGCGGAATGGACAGTCCGACTCTCTGCGGTAAAGGCCGTCTTAGGCATTGGGGAACCAAGTACACGGACCTATTAGTAAAAGTAGCAGACTTGACAGCAGGATATCGGGGTCAGACACAATGTCAGATACACTTGCAATCTCTTCGGACAGGGGTAGATGCCTGGGGATAGGCTCAACCACTCATTCGATGCCACAATGTAGGAGCCAGACAGTATCCACAACAAGTGCAAAAAAACGACAAACAATGTGCGACCCAACGTACTAGATTCCAAACTTTTCCGCGCTTCGAACGCCCAATCACGCTCGAATGCCAATAGTGGCCGGGCCAGAGAGCAAAAGGGGGCGCCAGGCTGCGGTTATCCCCCGAGCGTGTTTTCACAGCTTCAGGTGACGGAGAAAGGACGGACGAAGGATTGAAGACGTGGGGCGGCGGGGAGGGAGGGAAGGGACAGACAAGCGTGGAGAGAGACGGGTTCGAATGATGGGGGTAGGGAGGATGGGGTGGGGATGGGGGGGGAGGTGATGGAGAGGGGTTGAAGGGGGCTATGGGGAGGGATTGGCGAGAGGGAAGGGGGTACGTGTGAGGGAGGGGAAGAAAAAAGGGAGGGGGGAGGGATGTAATGAATGGAAGAAGAGAGGGCGATGAGCGAGTGACGAGACGGGCGCGAGGAGAGGGATGGGAATCTGAAACATGGGAGTAGAGCGCAGGCAAAGGACGGACGTGGGAAGCGAGGTGGGTCTGAATGGCTGCGTCCTGGGGAATGAAGAGGCCGAAGTCTTTCCCGGTGAGACCCTGGCGCTCGAGATGCAAGTCGTGGTGGTGGCGGAAAAGTGTAACGAAGACCAGCAAGGAAAGAGGAGACAAGACAACGACTGCGCGCCCTCGAGTCTTGTGCCACGCATCCGGCGAACGTGAAATTGCGAACAACGGCATGCAAACATACACAATCGCAAATGTTAGCCAGCGTGGACCTAAAGCAGTGCCCTGTAGCAAATTATGTAACGCAATTCGTGTGGTGCAAACGATGTGGTGCAATGTATGTGGTGCGCAATCTAAATAATGCGATGTATGAAATGTATATGTGATGTACGCTATGTTAGCCAACGTGGACCCCAGACAATGTGCTTCTAGCAATATATGCGCTGCAATACATGCGACGCAGTCTCGATGTGGTGCAACATGTGCTGTGCAAGCTCTGTTGTCCAGTATATGTGATGCAATCTGCGTGGTGCAATCTATGTGGAACAATCGGCGTGGTACCATAGGATCTGTGCAATATATGTGGTGCAGCCGACGTGCTGCAATATATATATATATATATATATATATATACAACCTTGTTGTTTCAATATATGTGGTGTCAACTACTAGTTTGTGAATCTATGTGGTGCAGTCCATGTGTTGCAATCCGTGCGGTGCAACCAATATGGTGCAACCGATGAGGTGCACTGTATGCGGCGGAATTGATTGAAACAAACGAGTTGACACATCCCATCGCACGTTCTTGCAAACATCCCACCCAAACACCCGCAATGTGGTTTGCAAAACCCATGTCGTGGCGATTGCGATACATGCTTGGCGTTGGCTGGTGCATCTCTGTGGCCGCGCCATCCATAGCACGCGCGCGCAGCATCCAGATAGTTTGGCGCCACCGACGCGGCCGCGGTGGCGCTGACCACTGGGCGCATCCCAGCGGGCACCTCATTGCGAATCGGCGACTTGGGCGGGCTCGGTATCATGGCAACGCCGACCAGAGTAGACGCGATGATGATCGTGGCGATGCTGGTGACGATGTTCGCACCGACGAAAGCGCGGCTAGTGCGGGCGCCGATGCTGATCACGCCGACGACGATGACGGCGCCCTCGCGTCGGTGATGGTGGCCGGCCGACCGCTGGCCGCGTTCAGGCAGCGACGCACCGCCTGCCACGTGCGGGCCAACCCTCCTTTTACCAGGGGTCTGAGCCCCATGTCCATGTGCGTGGCAAGGGAAAGGCGCCGGTGGCGCCCAGCGTCCGCGCCGCTTCGCGCGGCGGCAAAGTTGTCGCCGACAGCCCGGGCGGCCTCCGCTGGGGAGGTCGGCGTGAGTCAGCGCGCTCAACCCCGCCAGCTGGGCGCTGGCAGAGCTGGGAGGGCTATGGCGCATGAGGCCGGGCGGGCTGGCGGGCGCCCGTCGGCCGAGCGGCGCCACGGGATGGCGCCTGCGCCTGCTACCGCGGGGCGGCCACCGATGGGGCGCGCCCCTGTCAAACGTGACCTCCTCAGGCCACTGCGCGCGATCCTGATCCAGATTGGGCGATCTGGGGGCGATGATTTCATGTCTGGCGTCGATGGCCCAGGCGGGGCGCGGGGCTCGACAGCCCTGCCGGCGTGCTCGGCAGAACTGGGCGCCCCATCCGGCGTTGGGGCCGTCGCCAAATACTCCCGGGCATGGCGCCCGCCCCCGAGCTGCCGAGAGCCAGCCTCCGGCTGGGTGGTCGCACCTGAGATGCGCAAGCGGGGTGTCCGCGGCCGCGTAGGCCGTGGTGACTGACTGGCGGGCGGCCTACTTCGCCATGCGCGCTGTGCCCCCCTGGCGCTGCGCGGCTGCGCTGACTCGACCACGGCGTGCGACGGCAGAGCAGGATTGCACCCGGGGCAGGGGTCGTCGGCTCGGGCCCAGGAGTCAATCGCGTCTGCGCCGGCGCAGGGGGGCATGTCGTCGGATGGCCAGTCATTCGGCTGATCGCACGTTCTATCCGTTACTGTGCCTGCCCTGATTAGGCTGGCCGCTGCGTCGGGGCCCAGCGGTTGGTGAGCGAGGGCAGCGGTGTACCAATGCACAATCTGGTGCAGCAAGGCGGCGAGCGCGGGCGTGCGTGGCCCGGGCTGCATGCTTGCGCTGGCCAAGGTCTCGGGGGCGCCTTCTGGGCGGACCAGGTACCAGGAAAGCGCAACAGCTACGCACCAAGCCCATAGGTGCTCGTTGCTGTCCTCGCCCAGGCTGCCCAGCGGACAGTGGCCGCAAGGGCTAGATGCAGCCACCAACGCGGGGTCGAGAGGTGGACTTCCCTCTCGCCCCCTCTGCCCCGTCGGGCGCAGCCTGTTTGGGATGAGATGATCGCCCAGAGAGGCCCACTTGGCGTCGGTGAGGCCCCATGGTCCGTAGCGCTGCCTGCGCCGCGCGCAGCTGGGCGCATCAGCGGATGCGGTGTGCCAGACCGCCTTGCCTTGGCACCTGCGCCAGCTGCACTGGCGTGGGCTGGACATGCCAGAATAAGGTGCCCAGAGTCTCCATGGGCTCGCAGTGCCATCCTGGGCTTTGAGCAACGCGGCTCAATATTGGCAAACTTGCGGTTCTGGGTCGAAGGTCGCTGAGTGAGTGCGTGCAGCGCGGCGCGCGCGCTGCAGCGTGCTCAGCGCTCAGAGATTCGAGCTTGTCGGCCCAACGCAGGGCGGGGCGGCCGTCCGGCTGTCAGCGAAGCGCCCTCTTGGCCCAGCGTTCGCTGCTCATCGACTCGACGTGCAACAACCACTGGCGCTGCCGCGCCATCTGCTCGACGTCCCAAGGTGGGGCGCCATGCTCCTGCATCGCTCGCTTCGCCTCTGGTGCCACCCGCTGCAATCAATCTGCCTACGTTTCGACTTCGCCGTCTGGCTCCTTGATTTGGCTTCGCCCCATCATTTGGCGAACCATGCTCATCCGAGTTGGCCCGGGGGAGGGGAACTTCGCATGACTCCTGGGCATGCCCCTCGCAACGGGCGCCTGGCCGAGGAACGACAGAGCTTCTCTGTCGATTACGGAGATTTTCTGATAAGACCAACAGGTTGCATAGAAGAACTTCGAGCGCCCCACGAACCAACGAGTCACGTAATGCGACACACTTGCACGCCCGCTGGACGAAAACGCGGCGAACATGTTTGCAGAGATTGATCGCATTCTTGTGCGCGAGAAGTGGCGGGGTCGATTCGCTCCGTTAGGAGCAGGAGGGACATGGCACTGCAGTATCACCGCTTCGTCGTCCTTGCAGACTTGAGCGCTCATTCCGAAGAAGATAGCTGAGGAGTCCCAGGAGAAGAAGGCATCGTAAGTCTTGATAGCAAATCAGTGGCCGAGAGTTTGTGCGGCTATTTTGTTGAGCTCGGCCAGGGCATCTGGTGCGATGCTGGGCATTGGAATGTCGATGCGCTGGCAGAGACGGCGCGGTCCAATATGGAGGCTGCTGCCGAGAACGCCTCCCTGCTTATTCGTCTATTCGCCAAGCGCCCTCGGATTCGAACTGCAACGTTGGACCTCATCGAACTGCGGGGCCAAGCGCGGACGATGGCCAGTTCACGCTGGAAGCATCGCTGAGCAAGCATATCAAATCTTCGGCCAAGAAGGGTCGCGCAGCATGGTTTGGGGCGGACTGGCGGACTCCTTCGTAAAAGGTCCGCCCGTCAAGAACATGGAAGACTTCGCAGTTCTGCAGGCGACTTGTCAGATTCCAGGGAGAAGGCTGAAACCTTGGCGACATGTCTGCAGGACGTTCAGTGGCATCAGAACCCTGGCGCAGGTGTGGGAGTGCCAGAGGAGGCGAAGTTTGCGGCAACGCTTGGCACACCCTGTAGGGATCTCGAAGTCAGACATGAAATCAGTACTAGCGATGTTGCGAAGAGGCAAATCAAGCGGGCCCGACAAAGATACGATCAGGGCGGACATCCTGTCCTCAGGGCAGGGCCGTGTCTACCTGGGTGGTCTTCTCACCACCAGCGGCGGCGCCAGGTGAGCCGTGGCACGGAGGCTGGGCGAGTCGGGCGGTACGCTCACGCTCCTCAAGAAAGTCTGGAGCAATTCATCGTTGAGCCGGCGAAGGAAGCAACGAGTATGCGAAGCATGCGACGTCACAAAATTGCTGTGCAGCTCGGAAACAGAAAGTTTGAATAAGGCACAATAAAATTCTAGCACCAATTTGATCCACGCGAATTGCTTGCGAAAAATACGGGGCATCCCGCACCCGATGATTTCCTGGATGTCCAATCAACAGGTTTTGGACACGACGTCAAGCCTGCTGACAGACCAGCTGGTCGCCAAACAAATCCATGATGCCCGACGAAAGTGTAGCGCGACTTTCAATATTGCAGCCACGAGGGCGCAATCTGTTTCACACCTTCATATGCGCTGCAGCCGATGTGCCGTCACGGCAAGGCTTCGTTCGCTCGCGTTCGGCAACCCGCTCAGATTCGGTCCTCGGGCCCCTCCCAGCCAGTGGGTGAGCCTTCATGGGAGCCTCTGTGGACACCTCTGCGGCCCTATAAACGTGATGTCCACTGGATTTCGTTTAAATTTCAACCACCCCTTTTCACCCTTTCGTTCAAATGTCGTTCAGATTTCCACCAAATCCTACGAAATCCAGACGAAATCACCCGAGCCGCGAGGAATTTGGGGACACTCTGAGGTCCTAACCAGCCATCCGAGAGCCTCAACGTGCACCTTTCGTGCCGCTGTTGGGCCCCAGGGGGCCCCGTCAGGGCCCTTCATGGCACCAAAGGTGCGATGTTCTTCAACCCCTCCCTTTATCCCTCGAAGCGCGACTGCTCCCTGCGAAGGCCGCATGGTGGCTTGCCGGAGGCTCAGCAGAAACTCCTGGATGCTGCTGGAAGAGGGGCGGGGGAGGCTCTCCTCGCCACCTCAGAAGGACTTCCCCTCCGGAGGCCCGCGCAGGTACACGAGCGGGGCCTCTAGAGGCGTCGGAGCGCAGCCGAGGCCCCAGAGCCCGCTGGGTGCCCTTCCCGCCAGGGGGGAGCGGGGCCGTGCAGGCTCCCGAGGCCCCTGCGGCCACCCCCTCGGGGCCCCCTGGCAGGCCTCCCGAGGCGACGCTCCTGGCAGGCCTCCGGGGTGCCACCCCTCGAGGCCCTGGCAGCGCAGCACGGGGCAGGGCCGTGCGCGAGGGAGGTCGGGCGCCGCCGCGCAGGGCCCGCGGCGGCGAGCGGCGCCTCCAGGTTCTCGTCCCACGTCTTCAGCTTCTCCAGGGCCCGCTCCTTCGCCACCTGGGCGACGGAGGGAGGGGAATCTCTTGGGGCGACGAGGTCTGTGCACGTCCGCTGCTCCTGGCCGGGCCCATCCTGGGCCAGGAGCGGCGCAGTCATCTTCACGCTCTCGCGCGGCCGTCGTGCCGAAGGGCACCTCTCAGGCGAAAACCGCGATGCGCGGAAATCCTTGCGACCACGGGGTGAGGGCAAGCGGCGGGGAAACCTGCACGGATGGCTGCGGACCGTGTGCGAGCACGGGGACAAACCGTGCGCGTGAGCGGGTCGATCGAGCAACTGGCCAAGCTCCTCACCCTCGTCACCCAGGGTGCAGCACGGGTGGCCCCTGGGGTGGCCTCGCTGGGGCGGCCTCCTGGGCGCCCTGCGCGCAATCTGAAACGCTACTATGACCTTCGCGCTCTCGCGCGGCCCCCTGGAGAAACCAACTCTCCGGTTTAGCGTCCGCGAAGTCGTCGGCGCACAACGGGCGGGGGCGGGGGGCGGGGGGGAGCGGCCTTCTCAAAGGGAGGGGGCTGCTTTGAGCGGATCGAAGGCTTCCAGGCCCGTAATGTCGTCAAAACAGCCCCCTGCAGGTGAAGAATATCGCCGCCTCGTGTGTCGCCAGCTTCGAAAGGCCGCGACTCTTTCTTCGAATGCGTTGAAAATTAACGACGATGGGCATTTAACGAAAACTGTTTTACCTCACGTTCCTTGAACACTGTCCTCAAGTCAACCTGTGCGCTCTTTAAGGACGGGTAGATATTCAAGACATGCTGGGTTCTGGCCTGCTGGACTGCCAGGCTGCCGGGTTCTAGATGATTAGGAACTGTCTTTGAATACGGGAGGTTCGCGTCGTGCCGATTTCGCCGTGGGTTTCTGACACCGCGGGGATCGCCCAACCTTGAACGATCAGCCGTGTCCGAAACGACAGATCATTCAACATCGACCGATTCTGGGTCGCCAGCGGCGTTCAACGTTGAACGCCAGCGGCGGCTCGCCGACGGTCGACACGACTCGAACCTACCGTGCCCGGGGTGGGCCGACGCCGTCGCCACGGCCAACTTCGCTTCGAAATCCTGGTCGGGACGCGCTCCTGGCGAGGCCCCGGGGGTGATTCCTGCTGGGAGGCCTCCGAACCGCAGGGGGGCGCCGGCGCGACGCCCTCCGCGCGGGGTTCTTCTGGCGGGGTGCCACCCCGCTCGCGCGCGGATCGGGAGGGAGGCGTTGCGTGCGTGTCCAGCCCCGCCGCAAGAGGAGGCGGAGGTGGGGCTTCCGTAGAGTCTGTCCAAAGGGTCTTGGGCATCGCCACGGATGGCCCCGCACACTCTTTCCCGGCGGTTGAGTCGTCTATTTCACGCTGTGGCGACAGGGAAGCCGTCGCCCTGATGGAGGGATGAGCCCTGTCGCCCGCATCCAAGTGGTCTTTGTCTTCCACTCGGGATGCTGAAGGACATCTCCCGACGGCCCCCCCCCTTCCCCGGCACGTCGTCATCTTCGTCATCCTCGTCTGTCACCCTGTCGTCGTCGACGCCCTCCTCCCTCCTCCCACCTCCGCTTCCGCGTCCTCTTCCTCCTCCCTCCTCCGCTTCCGCCTCTTCTTCCTCCTCCTCCTCCTCCTCTTTCCTCCGTCCCCCTCATAGTATGTTTCTTGTTATTATTATTTTCTCTTATCATTATTCTTATTATTCGTAGTTCACTTCTTATTCATCTTAGTGTAAATATTATTTTTAGTGTGCTTAATAATATTATTATTATCATTCTTACGAGTACTATTATTCAATATACTACTATTGTTATCACTATTGAGGATTATCTGTCTTAACCGTACTGTTACTATCATTACTAGTGTTATTCATATTATTATTGTTATCTGTATTATCATTAGTATTATTATGATTGTGATGATGATGATGCTGCCGCTGATGATGATGATTATTATCACTGTTTATTATTATTACTATTATTATTATTATTATTAAGAGTAGTATTACTACTATTATTATTAGTACTATTATTAGTATTATTATTATTAGTGTTATTATTAGTATTGTTATTATTCGTATTATTATGATTATGATGTTTCTTCGTATTATTATTATTTCCCCTCCTCCTCCTCCTCCTATTCCTCCTCCTCCCTCCTCTTTCTCCTCCTCCTGCTCCTGCCCCTCCTCCTTCTCCTCCTCCTCCTCCTCCTTCCTCCTGCCTCTCCTCCTCCTTCTCCTCCTGCTCCTGCTCCTCCTCCTCCTGCTCCTCCTCCTCCTCCTTGCACGAGAGTGACTAGGCCTGCGTCGGCGTGTCATGTGTACGTGTGAGATGTGTGTCAGGCTGTATGTGGACGCGTGTCCCCTGTGGGTGCCCACCTGCATCAGGCAGCTGAGCTGATGCAAAGCGTACCGCGGCACCTCAGCGCGGCCGGCTCCCTCCAAGTCGCGTGCCAGGGAACGCATGTAGGCGACCACCGCGTCAACGGGGCGGCCGCCTGTTCCGAAGACGACCAGGACGAGCTCGCCCCCTTTGAGGTGGGTACCTCTGGCGTTTGGCGCCTTCGCGGACCGGGCGGCGAGGCCCTCTCGACCCGAGCGAGCCCGCTGGCACGACTGGTCGTCGCTGTGAGCGCAGGCGATGCTCGTATCGAGATAGACCACGTTGCCCATGACCGAGTCGCGCGTTGCGACGTCCGCGTTGGCCTCCTCCAGCTCCCCCGTTTTCGGGTGGATGCGGTTCCAGGCCGGGACCAGCTGCTCCGCGGTCGCCGCGTAGCCTGTGGTCTTTTGGTGGTACGCCGCGCAGAAGGCCCGCATGGCGTCGCGCTCCTCCTCCTCTATTCCTCCTCCTCCTCCTCCTCCTCATCCTCCTCCCTCGTCCTCGTTCTCGTCCTCGTCCTCGTCCTCCTTTTCCTCCTCCTCCTCCTGCTCCTCCTCCTCGTCCTCCTCCTCCTCTTCTTCCTTCTCCTCCTCCTCCTTCCTCCTCCTCCTCCCTCCTCCTCCTCCCTCCTCCTCCTCTTCCTCCTCCTCTTCCTCCTCCTCTTCCTCCTCCTCCTGGCACGAGGGTGACTAGGTGTGCGTCGGTGTGTCATGTGTACGTGTGCGATGTGTGTCAGGCTGTATGTGGACGTGTGTCCCATGCCCAGTATGTGGCGCATACGTTTGGGGTATATGATGCAGTGAACACGCCAGGCGTGCACCAGCGTTGCATGGTGTGTGTGTGAGTGTGTGTGCGAGTGTGTGTGTGTGTGTGTGTGTGTGTGCGAGTGTGTGCATGCGTGCGGCTATGTGTTGACGCATGTCTCATGAACTTGCCGTGCATGTGTGTGTGTGTGTGTGTCGCGTGGGTGAGGGGAGGAAGGAGGAGGAGGAGGAGGAGGAGCAGGAGGAGGTGGAACGGAGGAAGGTGAGGAAGACGCGGGTGGAAAGAAAACACGAGCCCCACTAAGCAGGCGGGAAAAACGGAGAGAGTGGGAAAAAAAGAGAGGGAGAGAGAAAGAGAAAAAGAAAGAAGAAACATGATAATGACAAAGAGCAACATAAAGGGAGAGACCCTGATTTGGTGACTTCCCCACGCGCTCCCTCCTGGCCAAATGAAACCAGAACAGTCGGAAAACCCAGCCCGCGGGGCCCTGGCGGCCGCATTCCGCAGCACGCACGTGGCCCATACATGGCAGCCAAGGTCCCCGAAATGGCGCTTCTCCTCGGTGGGCATTCCAAGACCCGCCCGACTTTTCCAAGGTGGCCGCGGGAGCGGTGCAAACGTTCCCAAGGAGGCCTCGCAGCGGTCAGGAGGCTCCCAGGCTGCCCCAAGTAGTTTCCAGCCGTACACCAAGGGCTTGAACGCCACCAAAGTGCCCACGCAGTATATGCCAGAGGGCCACATCAGTAAAAAACCAAAAACATCCCCCCCACGTGTCTTCTATTCTTGTCTGGAGTTTACATGAGTTGCGAACGCGTGACTCTAAGATGCTCCAGAGGGCCACAGTGACCAGAAGGGAAGCCTAGAACCATTGAGTATGAGGATGGCCCAGGACTGCTACGAATCTGCAATGCGACGTCAGCGGCCAAGGCGTGCGCTTACAAGCTAAGGATTTGTTCATCCAGACACGGCCCGTCTGACGCGCGATATCCTTGGCCCCATGGCACGTTTAAGGTGAGCGCGGGCGATTCGTGCGCAATGGTTTTCGTTACGAACCCCCAAGACGGCAATCCGAACTGTGGCCTAGATTCCTTTCTCTGGGAAGTGAGATTCGACACTGGCAGCAAACTCGGAAAAAGGCGCCAAATATGTAGCCAGATGCAACGGCAGCGTTACATGGGGGCCCAAGACCAGGCCGCCCCGACCTAGCCCAGTGATTTCCCCGGCGGGGCACCACGGGGTGTGGGCGCCGAGCTAGGGTTCGTCACTCCCCTGTTTCGTTGTTTTATATTTCCCTGATGATTGTTGTTTTTTACTGTCGTTGTTGCGATTCTAAATTACGCGATGGTCGCGGCCGTCGGGTCTGGTTTTGGACGCGGTAGATTGGATGCGACTCTTGTCCGCGATGACCTCCCCGCCACACGCGAGCGCGTTGCCGTCGTCGTCGTCGTCGTCGTCGTCGTCGTCGTCGTCGTCGTCGTCGTCGTCCGCTGTCGGGGGGTCCTCGTCGTCGGTTAGATCGGTCGGTCGGTCGGTCGTCCTGTCGTCCTCCATCATCCTCGGTCTCCTCCCCCTCCTCCTGCTGCTCTTCCTCCCCTTTCTCCTCCTCCTCCTCCTCCTCCTCCTCGTCTTCTTCCTCCTCCTCTCCTCCTCTTCCCTTTCCTCCTCCTTCTCCTCCTGCTCCTCCTGCTCCTCATCCTCTTCCTCCTCCTCTTCTCCTCTTCCCTTTCCTCCTCCTCCTCCTCCTCCTCCTCCTGCTCCTGCTCCGGCTCCTGTTCCTCCTCCTCCTGCTCCTCCTCCTCCTCCGGTCCTCCTCCTCGTCCCCCTTGCGCCATTGCAACACGTCGCCCTCTCATGGATAACCCTACCGAAACCGATCGCCAGACACTCGAAAACCCCAATGAAACAGAGCCCCAGCCGCGAACATCCCAGGCAACATGCTTCCAATATAGCTGCCACGTCACTTCCACTGCTCGGCCTCTCCGTGTCCAGTGCTCGACCTTTCCGTTTCCAGGGTTGGCAAGCAGCGTTTCTGGGGTTGGTGGCAGCTCGGATTTTTCCAGGGTTGGTGACCTCGCTTCGCGGGTTCGGATGTCAGCCAGGGCAGGGCGGGGGAGGGAGGGTCAGAGGAGAGGGGGCGGAGGCGGGAGGGCAGAGAGGGGCAGGGACAGGGGCAGAGAAACATGGCAGGGGAGGGGCAGGGAGCGGGGGGATGGAACAGGGAGGGAGGGCAAGGGGGATGGGCAGGGAGGGGGAGGAGGGAGGAGGCCCACACATCCGACGTCGACATGTTCGGTGCGGCGTGGGCCCCTGGAACCTGTAGGACCCCCTCCGCGGCGCCCGCTCGTTCACCGCGGGCACGGCGGCCCGGAGGCCCGAGAGCGGAGCACGGAGACCGGCATTCACAGAGCAGCTGAGCGGCGCTTTGCTTGTCCGCGACCATCGGCGAGGCTCGCAAGGCCGAGGGCGCGGGGCGCCGGAGCGCGCGGGCGAGAGAGCGGCGCAGCGAGACGGATCGAGCCCAGCGCATCGTCGACTCAGACCGCTGTGCTGAGGCCGTCGCGTCCTCGACGCAGGCCGCTGGACCGAGGCCGCCGTGCGCCAAGGCACGCGGGGGAGGGGGGCGCAGACACGGGCAGTGCGGCCTCGACACCCCTCCCGAGGCATCGTCGCTACGAGGGCCCAGGAGAGGCGAGGAGCACGGCTTCCCCGGATGAGCGACAGAAAGAAGCGGGTCTTACGCGAGAGGACACAACGACCTCACGCCGCGGCTTGCGTGGGCCGCCAGCGAGGCCCACCGCGTGGAGAAAAGGGCGCTTGCGACCGACTTTACGCGGGAAGCTCACGCGCTAACGTCGGCCCAGTCGCCCCCGACTTTCTGCGTCGCTCAGATATGCGGCGGGCCAGAAGCGCTCCCTCAATGAGGGGCAACGATACGGGGGGACCAGCTCAGGAGGAAAACATTGACCTGAAACCGGCGATACGTCGCCGATAGATTGCCCGATAGCGAATCCGCATGTTCCTGGGCGGGGTGGGCTGTCAGGCCCCTATCGGCGCTGAATGGACGACAGGGGGTCGATGCATATCCTCCTGAGGCCACCCCCTTTAACGTTGCACCAGCTTCACGCGTCCCCCAATCGCTCTGAGGCGATCCTGCCAGTCTAGCGGCCTCCAGAACGAAGTCCGAGTAGATGGGGTGGGGGGATCGCGCCGTATCGCCGAGGCCAGGGGGCGCGGGGCGGGCGGGCCGCGCGGGGGGCCTCGGTGGCCTCGGTCCGCAAGAGGTCCAGCTTGATCTGCCGCCCCCCCCGCGGGCGCCCGGTGCCCCTGGGGCCCAGACCTCCGGGCTGCTCGGAAAAAGTGCGCCGCACGGTTTTCGGGCTGCAAGCCCGCGAATCATTGGAAGCCCAAAGACGCTCGCTGAGCGCCGTGACGTGCGCGCGCGTGCGTGCGTGCGTGCGTGCGTGCGTGCGTGCGTGTGTGTGTGTGTGTGTGTGTGTGTGTGTGTGTGTGTGTGTGTGTGTGTGTGTGTGCGTGTGTGTGTGTGTGTGTGCGTGTGCGTGTGCGTGTGCGTGTGCGTGTGCGTGTGCGTGGTGTGCGTGGTGTGCGTGCGTGCGTGGTGTGCGTGCGTGCGTGGTGTGTGTGTGTGTGTGTGCGTGCGTGCGTGCGTGCGTGCGTGCGTGCGTGCGTGCGTGCGTGCGTGCGTGCGTGCGTGCGTGGTGTGTGTCTGTGTGTGTGTGGGTGTGGGTGTGTGGGTGTGTGGGTGTTGTTAACGCGGGCCGCCCAGGTGCCGCGTCCATGGCCTCGTGGTGGAACTCGTCTTCCGCCTCATCGTTGTTCCCGCTCTTCTCTCCTCCTCTTCTCGCCCTCGGGCTGTCCGCCCAGGGCGACGTCGCCTCTCTCCTCTGCTGCTGCTTCCCCGCTGCCTCGCCCTTCTTTCTCCTGCCCTCGCAGCCTCCAGGTTCGTCCAGGCCCCGGTGGGCCTCCGCCCCCCAGACCGCCGTCAATTCGGGGCACCGCCTCCAGGCGCCCGCGCACTGCGCCTGGAGCCGATCAACACAACGGTCCCGCCCGTCCCTCGTACAGCGGGGTGCTCACCCGCACCGGCCTGCAGTTCCCCTCGTCCTCGCTCCCCTCGTCCCTCCCCTGTGCGTCTCGCTCGCCCTGGGCGGGCTGCGGCCGGCGTCGCTGCCACGCACAGCTGCCAGCCGCCTTCGCCGTGGCCTGCTCTCGCCAAGGCCATGGCCGAAGGACTGGCCAAGCCAAGCAACAGCTCACGCAGCTGCCACGGGCATGCAATCCGTTTCATCGCCAAGTCTCGCGCTGGCACGGAGTGCCAGACATGGGACTTGCTGAGAGAGACGGTGGTTTTATGGCGCATGCCTCTGGTCCTAGCCTCGCACCGCGGTATAGCGATTTCGTCGATCGGGTCATCGCTGACCTACAATGGGGTTGCGGTTGGCGCTGGCCATCTCCTGCGGTCGCACAACCCGACCTACAAGCTTCTGGCCGCCACTTCTGGCGCGCTGGAGTGGGTTACGTGAAGCTGGGTGCGCCCCGTGCCGATCGGGCGGGCTCTTCGCGATCGGCTCGGCCACCCTCCGGCCTGAGCTCACTTTCCCACTGTGCAGGCTGGCGTGCGAGTCACAGGCCGTTCGGTTTGCTTCGCTCCCAGCAAAAGATTCGACTCAACTGCTTGCCTGCCGTGTTGGCCGCCGTCTCTTGGCTGTGTCGCTGCTTCCCTGCTGGCTCTGCCCCCCTCTCACTCGGGGCTCAGCCAGTCCCGCCACACGCGCGCCTCTTCGCACACGCCTGCCCTGGCTGCTCCGTTGCTCGGCGGCGCATTGGCCCCCTCCCTCCTGGCTGTGGCAATCTCTGTGTGCGTCGGCGGCTGCGATCTCGCCTGTCGGGATGCCGTCTTTTGGCGACTTCCCCCCTGTCCTGCCCCCTCTCCCTCCTGGCCTGGCCAGCCCCAGCTCGCCAGCGGGTGCTGGCTTCACACTCTGCCAGCAGCTGTTGGCTTTCTCACCTTGCACGTGCATACGTCGCTCCCTGTAGCCCTATGCGATTTTTTGTTCTGCAGCGAGTGCACGCTGGCGGCCTCGCCCTGATACGTACACGAAGCTTGCGCCATTCCGCCGGGCCCCCAGACAAAGTGAGGCCTTCTGGGCGTCGTGAAGCCTCGTCAGAGCTTCCTGGGTTCTTGCTGGCTGTTTCTTGGACGCCCTCGCACGCATGGGATGCCTTCAAGTGTCTGCGTCGGAGGAGTGTCCGACGCGTAGTCGCTACTCCGCGCATGGGGGCTCACTTATTCTGCGCGTCTCGTGAGGGAGCAACGACATGTGCTGCCCTTCGCGCATGAAGCGAGATGCTCCCGGAGTGACGTCGCGGATGGTCGATACAACCCTCTCACCTTGAGATTCGGTGGAGGAGGGAGAAGGAGAAGAAGGATGACATGGATAACGACGACAGTGAGAGGAAGGAGAAAAGGAGGAGGATATCGAGGACAACGGGACGGTTTGTAGTGTTGTCCGGGCTCTGTTTGAGGCCCCCCCGTGCAGTGTAGCTGGAGGGTTAATTTGAAGACTATCGGGAGCCTTTGAAGGGGGTCTCATGTGAACATTTTTGAATCCTCCTAAAGCTTACTTGGGACATCTTCGGGGCCTGCTGGTGGCCCAAACCACAAGATAGTCTCAAGACGTTTTCGCCAATAGAAAGCCCCAAGAGGACCCCACCCAGAGGGGCTGAAGAGATGAACGTTTTTGAATGATTTTCGCGTTTTCGGCTCTCCGGCGTCCGCACACGCAAGACGGCCCAAGAGACCCCCCAGACTGGCCCAAGCCGGCTCAAGAGACCTTCAAAAAGGCGAGAAGAAGCCCAAGGAGGGCCCCGAGACGGCCCAGGGGGCCCAAGACAGCAACAAACTCCTGAATGGGGGCCTGCTGGTGGCCCACGTGGCGGCCTCTTGGGGCTTCGTCGAGGCTCCCAGGGCCCTTTGGGAGCTTTCTGGGGGCCTCTCTTGGGACCACATTCAGGAGTTTGTTTGCTGTCTTGGGCCTCCTGGGCCGTCTCGGGGCCCTCCTTGGGCTTCTTCTCGCCTTTTTGAAGGTCTCTTGAGCCGGCTTGGGCCAGTCTGGGGGATCTCTTGGGCCGTCTTGCGTGTGCGGACGCCGGAGAGCCGAAAACGCGAAAATCATTCAAAAACGTTCATCTCTTCAGCCCCTCTGGGTGGGGTCCTCTTGGGGCTTTCTATTGGCGAAAACGTCTTGAGACTATCTTGTGGTTTGGGCCACCAGCAGGCCCCGAAGATGTCCCAAGTAAGCTTTAGGAGGATTCAAAAATGTTCACATGAGACCCCCTTCAAAGGCTCCCGATAGTCTTCAAATTAACCCTCCAGCTACACTGCACGGGGGGGCCTCAAACAGAGCCCGGACAACACTACAAACCGTCCCGTTGTCCTCGATATCCTCCTCCTTTTCTCCTTCCTCTCACTGTCGTCGTTATCCATGTCATCCTTCTTCTCCTTCTCCCTCCTCCACCGAATCTCAAGGTGAGAGGGTTGTATCGACCATCCGCGACGTCACGCCGGGAGCATCTCGCTTCATGCGCGAAGGGCAGCACATGTCGTTGCTCCCTCACGAGACGCGCAGAATAAGTGAGCCCCCATGCGCGGAGTAGCGACTACGCGTCGGACACTCCTCCGACGCAGACACTTGAAGGCATCACATGCGTGCGAGGGCGTCCAAGAAACAGCCAGCAAGAACCCAGGAAGCTCTGACGAGGCTTCACGACGCCCAGAAGGCCTCACTTTGTCTGGGGGCCCGGCGGAATGGCGCAAACTTTTGGATAATACATGTCCAGCAACTCCCTTCTGTCTCACCTCGCACACGCAGAACCCGATTTCAGCGGCCTTGCAGGTTTGTTTGCGCTCTCGCATGCCGCCCTCGACGCAGGTTGGGCATATCTGAACTGATACATATATGTATATGTACACGGACACATATGAATATGCTTATCTACGTGTGTATATACACACGTGTATGGGTACAACACAACGAGACATGTGAATCTGTATGTGTGAGCAAAAGTGGAGCCCAACCTACCAGCATACGTTGTGAAATGAATGCGGTGCGATCTATATGATGCGATCTATGTCGTGCACTATACGTTGTGCAATAGATGTGATGCAATATATGTTATGTTGTCTATGTGGTGCAAACGATGTGGTGCAAGTACTTTGGGAAAGTCGGAGTTGCCAACTCCACTGCTCGCACAACGATCACGCCCACCCACCCGCAACTTGGATTGCAAAAGCCATGCGGCGGCGATTGCGATGAGTGCTTGGTGTTGGCTGGTGTATTTGTGCGGCCGCGCTAGCCCGCGCATGCTCGCACGCACAGCGGCCAGCTAGCCTGGCGCGACCGACGCGGCAGCGGTGGTGATGACCGCTGGGTGCCTCCCAGCGGGCACTTCACTGCGAGCCGGTGATTTGTGCGGACGCGGCATCATGGCGACGTCGACGACGGTGGAAACGATGATGATAGTAGCGATGACGGTGACGATGATCACGATGACGACGGCAAGGCCAATGACAGCGCCGATGCTGATCACGCCGATGATGATGATGGTATCCTCGCGTCGATGATGAAGGTTCTCGAAGGAGTTCGACGTGCGCGCGCGGCCGACGCGCGCGAGTGGCCCGCATGGAATATGCGACAAGGACCGTGCGCCCCCCCCCCGCAGCACGCGCGCAAGGGCATTCGAGTGACTTCGACATGCGGCGCTAGAGGCCCACTTGTACGCCTCTGATGAACGTGTTGAGCGACTTATGCTTTTCTGAAGAATTCGCAAGATCGCGCGCGCAGACCTTTTGGTGAACCCATGTTGCAAAACCATGGTTTTTACATGTTTTTTCGGCTCGCTCGAATTTGTTCTGAAGGATTCTGGCATTCGCGCGCGACGATGCGCGCGCGCACTTCGTCCTTTTCTCTGTTGCAAGGGATTCTCGCTGGAGCACGCACGCGAGGACGGTCGGATGCAATCGACATGCGCGCGCGAAAGGCACGTTTGGCAGCAGTGGATCAACATGGTTTTCTCGAGAATTCGCAAGAGCGCGCGCGAGGACTTTCTTGAGCATTCCTGTTGCGAAGCAGTTGTTTTTATTTACACACTCAATTTCGAAATCCGTGCGCAACCGAAGGTCTTGGATGGATGTCGGCATGCGCGCGCGACGACGCGCGCGCGCACTCCGCCCCATTTGTTGCAAGGGATTTTTGGAAACACCTGATTCTTGATA